TCGCCATCGCCCTCTCCGGTTCCGGCTCGCCGCTCATATCCCTCTGGGTCCTTCTCGCCGGCATCGGCTTCGTCGCCTGCGTCGCCATCTTCCTTCGCCCCGTACTTGCCTGGATGGCCCGCCGCTCGCAGGAGGGTGAACCCGTTAAGGAGTCGTACGTTTGCGCTACGCTCGCTATTGTGCTTGCCGCCGGCTTCGCCACCGACGCCATCGGTATCCACGCCCTGTTCGGCGCCTTCATGGTGGGTGTCGTCGTGCCGAAGGACGGGCCCTTCGCGGGGGTGATCATCGAGAAAGTGGAGGACCTTGTTTCCGGCCTCTTTCTCCCGCTCTACTTCGTCTCCAGCGGTCTCAAGACCAACGTCGCCACGATCCGCGGCGCCCGCTCCTGGGGCCTCCTCGTCCTCGTCATCACCAACGCCTGCCTTGGAAAGATTGCCGGCACAGTCATCGCGTCCCTCATCGCCAAGATCCCCATTCGCGAGGCCCTCACTCTTGGCTTCCTCATGAACACCAAGGGACTCGTCGAGCTCATCGTCCTCAACATCGGGAAGGACCGCAAGGTTTGGTTCACAGTATACCGTCTCTTTTCGCTTCCTTCGTCCCTCGCTATGCATCTTAGCCACCTCATCTTTGACACATATATCATACCGCCAGGTACTCAACGACGAGACGTTCGCCATCATGGTGCTGATGGCACTGTTCACCACCTTCATCACCACCCCCATCGTCATGGGAATCTACAAACCGGCCCGCAGGGCGGCACCCTACAACCACCGGACGGTCGAGAGTTCCGACATGGGCAGCGAGCTCCGCGTCCTGGCCTGCTTCCACGGCGTCCGCAACATCCCCACCATGATCAACTTGGTGGAGATCTCCCGCGGCATCCACCATCGACGCCTCACCCTGTACGCCATGCACCTCATGGAGCTCTCGGAGCGCTCATCCGCCATGTCGATGGTACACAAGGCACGCCGCAACGGCCTCCCCTTCTGGAACAGGCGAGACAATACCGACCACATGGTGGTCGCTTTCGAGGCGTACCGGCAGCTCAGTGCCGTCGCTATCCGCCCCATGACGGCAATCTCCGACCTGGACACCATCCACGAGGACATCGTCGCAAGTGCCTTGCAGAAGCGCACCGCCCTCATTCTTCTCCCCTTCCATAAGATGCAGCAGCTGGACGGCACCCTCGAGTCCGTCGGCCACGCCTATCATCTCATCAACCAGCGCGTGCTCCGCCACGCCCCTTGCTCCGTAGCCATCCTCGTCGACCGCGGTCTCGGTGGCGCCGCTCAGGTGTCCTCCAGCGAGGTCTCCTACACCGTCGTGGTCCTCTTCTTCGGCGGCCCCGACGACCGCGAGGCCCTCTCTTATGGTGCGCTCATGGCGGAGCATCCGGGCATCGCACTCACCGTCCTCCGCTTCCTCCCGGCCCCTGTTGAGAACCTGGATCAAAGCGTCGAAGACGAGGCGTGTATTTTCAAATTCACGTCTAACTCGCAGCCGTCGGATGGCTCCCTCGCGTACGAGGAGTCGGCGGCCGCAGACATGGCTGGAATCATCGCAGCCATCAAGAATCTGGGACGGCACAATCTCTTCCTAGTGGGTCGGTCCCCGCCGGCGGTTGCCCTGGTCGAGAAGAGCGACTGCCCGGAGCTGGGCCCGGTGGGAAGCTACCTGGCCTCCGCGGAGTTCTCGACCGCATCGTCGGTGTTAATAATACAGCGTTACGATCCAAGAGGGGAAACGTCCAGGCTAGTGGAAGAGTGTTAAAGAAGTAAAAATATATTTTGAAAGATTATAAATTAATATTTTTAATTTTTTAAATAAGATTAGATATAGTTATATATATTAGAAACTTTTGTATTTCAGGTGACATATATACGTGTAGTAGATCAATCCGAACATCAAGTATTTAAGTTTATAGGATTAAGGTTTAAGAATAGTTTAAGATTGAAAAGTTCAATAAAATTTATATTTTTTACCTTTTTTTTCTTTCATTCAGTTCGATCTTAGACTTTTTATATAATTTGATTTTGGGTTAATAGTATTTTATTATTACTGTTTAAGAAAGAGTTGTACTTGCATTTGATCTTTTTTTTCATCACACGATATCAAAGCCACAAGGGTAATCGAGGACGTGTGCTATCAAATTAACAAACAAACTATTATATATAATAGATTTAATTTATTTAATTAGATCTATTTATGTTTCAATAATTATGTGTGAATTTATATGATTTAATTAGTTTTAAATTTAAGATTATGAATTTAAATTTTTTAATTCATAAATTTGATTTGCCATTAGGTCGATCTAGTCTATGTGGCTATGTATCACCTAACCTATATAACAAGGTACGACTCAATTGATATGGTCAATCATAACCTTGCTCATGTGGTCATTTACAATCTAGTCCATATGGCTAGGTAAGAATAAGCCTATGACTCAACTCCTGTAGTAAGGTATGATCCTTGCGACCCAATTCATATGGTCAAACACAACCCTAGCTCATGTATCGAGGTATGACCTAATCCGTGAGCCAAGCATGATCTAGTTCAATGATAAAGCTAAGCCTAACTTATGTGTGAAGCTTAGCTCAATCTACGAAGTTAGGCTCGTCCAACTATATGATTGGTGTTAGACATATTGTCACTCTTTTATCCAGCTGGTTGTATCTCAGTCCAATGTATTACTTATTACAAGCATGTGTGACGCATGTGATCTCTCCAAGACTCAAGGTGAACATTATTTAATATAATTTAATTTTTTTCTTTCTTTATTAGTTTAAACTTGTTAATTGACTAAATGAATAGCTTTAATTAGTTCAAGCCAGTTTAAGGTGATTCCAGACAAACTTGACTAGTTAAAACCTGCTTGACATAATCAAAATCAATCAAATCTAATTAGACTAGTTTAATGTGATTCCAGATCGATTGTATAAGGATTTGAGATTGGTTCTGTTATATCTTAATTGAATTAAAATTGGTTCAACTCAATTGGACAATTCCGATTAAGGTTCTGGTTGATTAAGGACTATTAAGATATTGAAGTCTAATGTCCTTATGATTTATTTTAATTAAAGATATTATTTAAAAATATTATTTATTATTTATTTTTTTAAAATTTATGATATTGATATGATTATTATCACGTAGTATATGTGACTATGTTAGTGGTTCACATTGGAAGTGTAGCCTATGAAAGGAGCTATGAGCCTATTATAGTGCGAAGCTACCAACATATATAGTATAGCATATTATACATTAAGCATGGCTCCTCATAACATTTTATTATACTATTTTTTTGATGTATACGTGAATGAATGGATGAATATAAATAAATGATCATGGTTGTTTATGTATCCATACCGAGGGTAGATGATAATTCCCTTTGGAGATTAACAAATAGTTTCTCCATCGGGAGGAATATGTCCCTACTGGCAATTGAGGGATGTCACTTTATCCACCATTGGAAGTATGATATGGGTTTTCATCGTCCACAATTGGAAGGAATCTATCCCGTGAAGTATGCCTCTCAATCTACTATTGAGAGAGTACACCATCGAGTGTAATATACGTCTTTGTTATATGACTATTATATATGCATTATATGTGACTGATGCATGATTTTATTTATTTTATAAAAATTATCATTATTTTTTTTATGTATAAATTTTATAATGAATTGATATATTATTATTTTATATTAAATTATTGATATTTATATTTACTTCACCAATATTGAAGATTATTTTTATGATTTTTAAAAAATTCTTACAATGTAGTTACTAATATATTTTTATCTTATATTTATTTTTAGAGTAATTTACTATTTTATAATAGTTCTAAGGCTCGAGTGAAAGAGACTTATCTTACCGAGAAGATGTGATTTTTTTAGTTAATAAAATATTTCTTATTGTAAAAAGAAGATTGATTCAAGGATTAAAAAAAAATCTTAAGTAAATTATAAATAATAAAATAATATATATATTTTATATATCCAAGATGTGATAACGTCAACGTTGGTAGTTAGTGGATGAAATAAGGGATTGTAAAATAAAAATCGATAATAAAAGAATTATAAATAATAAAATATTTTTTTTATTATTTTTAAGATATCATCAATAATAAGTGATTTTATCAATAGTAAGTGAATGTTTTGATGAATCGCTTGGCGCAATATCATAAATTAGATATTAGCTAAAAGTCCAATTTACATTATTATTTTAAAACTACTATAATTTTAAAATTAAGGATATTAGATATTTTGCATTTTTATATACTTCATAAACGTAAATAAATTAATTCAATAATAACGATTAATCAAAGTTCCTATGTCAAATGTAGTACTTGGAGAATCTCAAGGACTGTATATGCTTACATTAAAATTTATAATTTTACAAATATTATGTTGAAACTTAGGTGAATTACCGAGAAAAGTTCTCTTTTTGAGTTATTATGATAAGTGAATTCCTAATAACTTTTTTTTAACATTTAGAATAGTTTTGATTTAATAATCGATCATCTCTTTTTTTTTTTCTTTTCTTATATATTGATTCATAAATAAGATGAATCGATTCAATTATAATATGTTTATACTATTTTTATGATATTTTTAATAATATCAAGTAAAGCATTGTAACCTAATACAAAAGTATTATAACACGTTATTTGTATACAGTATTATAGTATTTTTTTAGTATTACTGAAAATACTATAATATAGTATAAAATTATTATAATTAGATTAATTAATCGGTCTGTAGGAAAAAGAAAAAAAAATAGATGATTAGTTGAAACTGAAATATATAATTGTCTTTTATTCGGAGCTGTCACCAACAATAAGCGTTAGGCGTCCAATCATCGTCCATCAAGATGGTTGCCAGCTTTGAGATTCGCTGAGGGACCGATGGACGGTGCTGATGCGAGTCAGTTATAAAACTCGCCGAAAGCGAGGAATTAGTGCTGTCTATTTATGTGTTCTCTTTGACCACCAATCATCATCTTCTCAGTTACATCGCAGTAGCGTAGTTGGACTCGAAAGCGTGATCGCAATCTCACGAGATCGATACGATCCATCCATTCCTTTGCCTTGCCCTCTTTCTCCTTCTCCCGTTGCCACTCCACGCGTTAGATTTCGAGCGGCAAGGGAGGAGTCGCCTTCCGTCGCCCGTCCCCTCCTCGATCGCGCCCCCTCCGCCGCCAGGAGGGCAGGAAACCGACGTACCACCGACCGATCGCGAACCCTAGCCAGGTCCGGATCGAGAATCTGCCCTCCATTTCCCCGATTCGCCGCTCCTCTCCCCGCTTGCGTCATTCTCCCCTTGCCCCAAGCCCCGGTTCCTCGCCCGGGGCTGATCTCCCCGCAGCCGAGATCGGGGGCTGAAGGGCCCGGGGGACCGCGGACCGCAATCCAGGGGGCAGCACGATTTGCTTGAGAGGAAAGGGAGGAAGAGTGGGAGAGAGCTCAATTTGCCGATCATCGAGGTTCTTGACGCCGTCTTTCACTTCTTTTCGATTCTGGTCCTCCTATGTGCACGCGTGTCACTCAGATTGGTTTCTGTTTCAGTGGTGACGCAGAGGCTGCCCTTTTGTTCTCATTCTCCTCAATGGCGCCGATTCTTTTCGTCGTCGTTGCATTTCCATGTACGGTTGGAGCCATGGCGCTGGCGGTGCTTCATATATACAGGCACCTCTTGAATTACACCGAGCCTACTTATCAGCGCTACATTGTCCGCATCATCTTCATGGTTCCGGTATGCTGTTTGTTCCATTGGTTCCCATTATCATCGCAGTTGTTGTTGCCGATACTTAGTGGCTAGATCAGTTGTGTTCTTTCGTCCTGTTGCTCTTTTAGATGTTGAGATGCTAAAAATTTCATGTGAGAAGTATGCAATCTGACCTCTTAGTCTTGCAAGTCCAGCTGCATTAAATTTATCCTTTTAGCTTAGAAATCGTATGGACTAGTGTGGACTTTCTGAAACTTGTAATGGTGTACCCAAGGATAGTTAATGCAACCAATTCTCTTACCATTTAAAATCAGAAGATTTGTTGGGAGGAGACAGAGCATGGGAAGATTTATCTACTTTGGACTTGGAAGTTTATTTCAATCCTTTTTTGCTCTGGTATAATTTCACTTTTCTTTCCTTTACCTTATACGGCAATGAAACGACCAAGTCAATGTATGTTTTTATGGATGGAGGTCCACGAGTTGTCGATTTAAATTCCTTGTAGTTTTAGAAGAAATATTTACTTTTACACTTTCCCTCTTGATATGGTTTCTTCACTTTAGATTCATACTTCTCCTAGTTTCTTTCTTCCCTATGAATATATCAGTATATTCGTTTTCTGTACCCGTATATTGAACCATAATTTTAATATTCCATGGGATGCCTTGAGCCAGCAATGTTCCCATGTGCACAACAGCATGCGACATAGTATATCGATGTACCTTCGGCACAGGGCAGAATCCTGTGGTGAGATTGTGCCACAATGTACAGCATGGCAAAAACTCACTGAAATGCGCCAAAACTCTTAAACAATGCTGTGAAATGATGGCAATTGAGGGATCATATATTGGACAGGTTACTGACATTCTGGGACGGAAGACAAAACTTGTACGATTGGTGTCTAGTTAGTAAAAATGGTCGAACTATTAATGGCTATAGTCGAAGTCTATGCTATGCTAATCAATTGTCTTTGGAGAATATGCAATATGGTGCCACAAGGAATAAACCATTTTAGATGCAAACATTCCTGGACGTCATTGTTTAGTTCACAAATGTCCTGATAAAAACTGGGACAACAATTACGGTGTCTGTTGAGGAGATGAAAGGAATGCTGGCACACACCTGAGGATGAGAAGTGAATATGTTCCAGTGTCACATAAGCAATAATGCTAAGCCCATATTAATTCTTGACATCTTGGTTGTAAAGAAATTCAGAATATTGTCCTTTTGCTTTATTTTCAGACTACTTTAGAATTCCACATCTACTAGATAATTCTGGTTTCAATTCTTGTAGTAGGTGGACAGAGTTTTATGGTGTCTAGCTAGAATGCATATCTGAACTTCTCATGTAATTCTGCAAATTTCTTATGTTTCCAAGTATTGGGACCACTTTAAGAACCAATCCCTTGCTTCCAAAGATGCCTTGTCTTTTATGTTAGTTGTATTATGACTTGCTGAACTATAATTGTTTTTATCTTTTTGGCCTTCATACCTACCTTGTTTATATTGTCATGTTCAATGAATTGAAGGTGTCTGAACTCATATCTCTACACATCAACAAAAATAATCTTGGAGATCAATGTAGTTCAACTAAATTGATTGAATAACTTTCCTCAAGAATAAGAAGAGAAAAAGCAGAGAGGGAAATGGAATAGGTAATATTTGATGATGTTTCAGTTGTTCTGTTTGCTGACATATGATTTTTTATGTATGCTTTTTATGCTATTAACTAACTAATTGCATAATTCCTTGGCTCACCATCTTATACTTATTTTTTCAGGTCTATGCGATGATGTCATTCTTGTCCCTCATCCGTAGTGATCATTCAATATACTTTAATTCTATTCGGGAAATGTGAGTATATTTGTCATTAATGTCATGTAATGCATGTAGTATTTAAATGATTTGACATTGCACCACGTTGCGGTGATTATATTTCTTTCAGTTGGTATGTTCAGGTCCAAGTCTTTTCCCTGAAAGCATTATTACAGACAGGACTCACATGACCTTTAGTCTTCTCACGAGTTTGTGCAGATATCATTCTAACAATATTTAACTGTTTCAGCTATGAAGCTTGGGTCATTTATAACTTCCTTTCACTCTGCTTGGCGTGGGTGGGAGGCCCAGGTGCAGTAGTTTTGAGTTTAAGCGGTCGATCTTTGAAGCCATCATGGTACCTAATGACGTGTTGTTTTCCTGCTATTCCTCTTGATGGGTCCGTTCTCTGAGAATCCCATTTCCTGTAATTATGGTTTTTAAAAGTTTATGCAACTTATCAAGTGATACTATCATAAGATTTGCTCATTTTTGTGAAACATTGTAGAACTTGTTGAAACACTTGTGACTAATGTATTCAGTTCAATCATTTATGAAATTATTCATCCTTGAACATACTTTTCCAACAGACGATTTATTAGAAGGTGCAAGCAAGGTGGTTTGCAGTTTGTGATCTTGAAGCCTCTTCTAGTTGTCATTACCTTCATACTCTATGCAAAAGGGAAATATAAAGATGGAAATTTCAGCGTGGACCAAGCCTATCTTTACATCACAATTATCTACACCGTATCATATTCTATGGCATTGTATGCTCTTGCTTTATTCTATGTGGCATGTAAGGATTTGCTCCGGCCCTTCAACCCAGTTCCAAAGTTCATTATAATCAAGTCTGTTGTTTTCCTCACATACTGGCAGGTACTTTTTTTACCTTGGTATTTAGTTATTTCTCCTTGTTTGATTGCTTTGAAATTATCTAAATGAATGGTTTGGATATCTGCGCTGGCCTTTCCTTTAGCACAGCCAACAGAGAACTGCCAGGCTGGATCTTGGGCTACTTGTGAATGATTTGGTTCTTAACAAAGGTCTTCATTGCATGCAGGGTGTCTTGGTTTTTCTTGCGGCCAAGTCAAGGTTCATTAGAAATGCAGAAGAAGCTGCTGATTTTCAAAACTTTGTGTTATGTGTCGAGATGCTTGCGGCAGCTGTTGGCCACTTTTATGCATTTCCGTATAAGGAATATGCAGGTGCCAATGTCGGTGCTTCTGGTGGTCTGAGGGGAAGCCTTTTTCATGCTTTGAAGTTCAACGACTTCTATCATGACACAGTTCATCAGGTAACCTCGTTCGGAAAGTAATACTTTGTTATATATTGAATCTATTCTGCATATATTAGACTTTCCTTTTCTGATATCTGGTTATCTTGACACAGTTCGCCCCTACTTATCATGACTATGTACTGTATAATAACAACGAGAGTGATGAGGGAGCAACAAAGTACCGATCACGGACCTTTGTGCCTACCGGGCAGGAGATGGATACTGTGAGAAAGAACAAACATGCGTATGCAGGGAAGTTAGATGATATACAGTTGTCTAGTGTCTCTACATCAGGTTCAAGCAGCCCTGTGATATCAAACACACTGCAAGCCCAAGCAGACCTGGAAGCAATCAAATCTTCATTGCTCAAAGAAAGTGCTACTGCTTCTGCACAACCATATGATCTTTCAGTGTTAGCTGATACCGATTTGTCAAACTACCCTGCGGAGGTTCCTGCAGTTGATGACTCCGACAAACCATAATGTTAATTGATTTTAGTAGTTAGCGGAAGCGAAGCTAGGAGGTCTTGAACTGCACTCCACTGGCTGTACTTTGCTGCTGTGTTTGCAAAACTGGGAAGCCTACAATTTCCCGTTGCTTCAGTGAAAGGTAATACTATACCTTCAATGATTTTGCTTCTCGCTTGAATGCTAGTCAGGATTGAGAGCATGTTTGTACATTTTCTGTTAGTGTCATTTAATGGAATACCTGCAATGATTTATTTGTTGGTTGAATGCTGGTGAGGATTGTGAATGCTGACATGTGTGTACGTTTTCTACTATTGTCACTTGTTGTCAAGACTAAATGATGGTGCCTGTCGATCGAGTTACCCCATTCTTGCTGCTTCATGTGACTGTTTTCCTAGCATTACTAATAGCCAAGATCGAAATAGCGTGTATATTTCTTGCCAAGAGAGCATTTACTCGAACATACATGTGATCTAACACCACAAGTTGTAACACCTAATGTCTGGTGTGGAACAGTAATAAACATTTTTGGATTACTAGTTTAGATTTAATAAATTAGCTATCGTGTATATGTTTGTATCTTTTATTTTTAATATAATACTTGTATATGTTCGTGTCTTTTATTTTTATTCATATTTTGCATAACATATAAAAGGGTTGCAGTAGGCTTAATAATCCTAATTTAGTTGGCTTTTGTGGTCATTTCAGACTTGTAAACACAAGTTATGTGCAGTCATCACGTAGAGGTAAAACTGTTCAGAAATAAGTCATCGAAATAATTATTTTGAGGATTTTTTAACTATACAGAGTGGTACGGAATATCAGTTAGTATAACACCTAGGAGCTACCCAGGTGGCACATGGTTAGATGGGCATTTGAAGTAGTGTCTAGGGCTGGATTACTACATTGTTCTATGGTAGTGTCATGTAGGCATTTGTGGGGACTTTCGACTATAGTGAATCACCTTAGACTATTTCTCATTGTAATCGTTCATACCTTTCAAAGTCTATGTTTATAATTTGCATTACCTATCAAGTGTTTGCTGAAATTGCTACTTATGGATTATAAGTTGAACGCTTTTTTTAACCCGTCTTTTTTGCATATCACAAGAGGTTTCGGGAAGGTTGACCCTTTTGGGATGGACACGCAAGAGTGTCACACAACATAGGGATAGCTGCTTAAGTCCATGACAAATTATATGAGAGTGGAATAGGCACACTTAAAAAATACTTGGTATACAAATGTGAGGGACCTAGCGAGGCAGCGTTAAGGGCAGCTAGCACGCGTAACCGTTTGTGAGAAACGGGTGTTGAGATGTGGGGAAAGAAGTTGATTAGAAGAGCAGGCATCGGAAATTGACATTTAAAGGAATAGCCAACCCATTGCGCGAGAGGCACCACGAGGACAAGCGAGCTGGGAAGAACACAATGCACAAAAGTTAGAATGGCTGAATTCGAGCTACGACTTGACATGGTAACCAAACTTGATGGTGCTTAAGGTAAGTGAGGTGTTTGGCAAAGGATGAGATCATGCAAGGTGGGGTGATTTGGTCAGCGATCGAAAGAGTTATGCAAAGCTCATAGAGGTGAGGAGAATTGCTAATTCAAAAAATTCGGTACTTATGCAAGGGCTTGTATGTACACAATGGACTGTCTATAGCCATCCCAATGCAATTAAAACTTTGATGCTATGGAACATTAAAACTTTTCCTTCAACATGAGAATGATACATCCATAGAAAGCTGAAGTGTACAGCAAGTTCAACATATTACTAAGTCTTGAGGAGCATAGTAGGGGTTGTATTGACGAAGAGTCGCAATCTAGTAAGTATGTTTATAGGGATAGAATAGTGCATAGTTTGTTTAGCAAGGCTGAGTAGTTTAAGGGGATGGTGGTCTCCAAAACTTTTGGAGGGAAGGATGCGAAAAGTTACTCCAATAAGAGAGATATCCAAGAGGGATAAGTCTCAATTCGTCGGATGGAGAATCATATATAATAAACTGTACATGTTTAGGAAGGGTACCTCAAGATAATAACTCTATAAAACTCAACGGACCGAGTGAACAACGATGAGTCATCACATGATCTCACATAAGGTAATGTGTTAGGGAACACATTGCAAGATTAAGTGGGGGAATGACCCAAGACAACACCAAACGAAGCCACTTAGAATCGATATGAAGATCAGACTCAACGGAGTGTTGACTGGTGGAATAGTGGGTGTGAGGGTCACACTCAACTCAATGCAAATCGAGTAGAGATCAAGGGCATGAAGTTTATGTAACAAAGATCAGAATGCAATAGGGATTCATTAGGAAGCGATATAGTGCAGTGGATCATGGTGGAACAATTCAAGGCAATGCGACACATACGAAAAAATTCTTGCGAGGGACTAGATTATATAGAGGTATGATCGGGATCTACTAAGTGCTCTACTTCAGTGAATAATAAGACAACAAGAAGGGCTATTGATTCAAGGAGTGAATGTTATGGTATCATATATTCGGGTCTTCCGTGCATGTATCGAATTTTACATCGAATAAAAGCTTTGGTCATCAGCATATGAGGGTTATATACCATCAAGGAGAAATTCTGAATGTAAGTTTTAGTGAGTCTTATGAGGGGGTCTTAATCATATAGATGTATGATTAAAGGGGCTACAGAGTTGGATTGCTCAGGAACTCATATTCACTTAAGGGAGCATAGTAAGCTAGAGGATAATACCGAGTAAATGAACGTTGCTTCCAAGGAAACAAAGGAGAATAGAATCAGCATGAGCCCTATAATATGATGGCAAAGGTCATACATGTATGTTGCAATACGTATTTCTATCGAGCAAGGGAAACTACTCGGAGAACACAAAGGTGTCGAAGTAAGTGATTGAAAGAGGTAAGGAAGTGATGAGAGGTCTAAAGGGACTTAGCTATCTAAAACTAAGCATAAGTTATAATAGAGGTAGACTCGAAATAGTGTTGTAGTGCCATAGAGGTAGATTTACCGATCACAAAGAAATGGATGCAGATGCGAGGTAATAAATAGTGGAATCATAGACATGGCAGCGCCATGGTACTGCAAAGGTGGGAGTCACATGGAGTCATTGATCCCTTGCTTTTTTGGAGATAGAGCATTTGGTAAGAATATGTAGACAAACTTCAAGTATTGAGTCAATGCCGAAAGGCAGAGGCTAGGGAACTTCGTAAGACTAGTGTTGATGTACTTCTCATCAAAATAGTCGAAAGTAAGAGACTTTAGATCAGTGTAGGAGTGCTCGACCAAGAAATGAAGTAGGCAATACAAGATACTGTACTTTTTCTACTTAGAGTAGGCAATAGAAATAATGAAGAAAACGATATAATCCCATAGGCGACTAAAACTATTGGAGACTTGCTTCAAATTGGAACAAAATTTTGTTATTTTCGGGCAAAGTTTTTTGTATTCCAGAAATTTGATGGCAATAAGAAAGTGAATCATAGTAGTTGACTCAGCATAAGGAGTGCAAATAATTTAGGTGCTATGGAAGTATGAGCAAAGAGCAAAAGAAGTCAAGAAATCTTTGCCTTCTTAACTCTTAAGAGAATTGACAAAATAAAGTATCCTATATCTCTTATTTATGTAATAGAAGAGCTATACATATGTTCAAAGAACTTTCTAAGAAACCTAGTAGAAGACAACAGTTGTGAAATCTTCATCAATGATTATTAATGCTATCGAGAGTAGATTGTCTATTTCATTTCCAAACATAATTCTAATCGAAAACGGAAGTGTTGTGAACCTACTTAGATGTGACAACTAAATAGAAGGAAATCAATGGGTAAATTTTACAGAGGAAATACCTTAATAACTTTAAAGCTCGCGAGGTGATGCTCGTTAAAACTCCAACAGACATCCACCTAATTCAAGTGATATAACACATTTGAGAGATTTGCGTATAACAAAAAAAGTTTTTTCCTTCATCTGAAAGATTCGCAGGAACCATTAAGGATTAGCATAACTCAATTGATCCCACACTAGAGTCAAAGTCAATAGCGAGTTGAAGCAGCATGACAGATCAAAGTTTGACTACTTAACAATAGCGAAGAGCAGTTGGGAGCTAAGAGATTCATTGTAATTGGAGCAAAAGATTGAAGATTAAGCAAAGACGATGAGATCCAACATCCATAAAGGCTTCAACGAGGATGTCGAAGGAATAAATGATGGAGAATATCACAAACAAAGTTGTAAACATGGTGTTCGATGTAATGCTCATGTATGCTCGTATCTTTCAATTTTGTTCATGCTTTGCACAACATGTAGAGGGCTTGCAGTAAGCATGATAGCCCCATTTTGGTTGATTTTTATGATCATTCTAAGCTTGTAAACGTAGGTTGTATATAGTCATTACGTAGAGGCAAAACTAGCTAGAAACATATCATCCAGATAGCTATTTTGGGAGTTTTCTAGCTCTGTAAAGTGGTGTGAAGTGTCAACCAGCACAACACCCGAGAGCTATTCGAGTGGCACATGGTTGGATGAGCCTTTGGGGCTGATTCACTGGCTGTCTTATTCTGTAGCATATTATGTAGCAATATCGTGTGAGCACTTGTGGGAACTTTTGGTCGTAGCAAATCATCTTAGACCCTTTGTCAAGGACCATTCAAAGCTTGCGAAGTCTATATTTATAATTTACTGAAATGATTAATTATGGATGTTAAGTTAAACTATTTCTTCAACACATCTTTTCTTTTGCATAAGATGTTTCGGTGAGATTAATCATTTACGAACAAACACATAAGGATGAGTTTTTTCTTTTGCATAAGATATTTCGGTGAGATTAATCATTTACGAACAAACACATAAGGATGACATATGACTTCAGCAAACCAACTAAGTCCGTCGTATAATACCAACTAACACATAATAATGTGAATCTTGTTAAATTTATTCAAACAAATCATGTGTTTTTATTATTATTCACAACTAACCCTTTTCGATATGAATTTTCTTTAAAAAATTATTTACTCACAGTAAAATCACTTAATTCTGATATGGGATTAAATCAAGGTATTAAAATTAAGGTCAATCAAAGTTTTCATCCGAAAGAAAAAGACAAATGGCAACCATCACAAGCACTAGCGCTAGTCCGAAAACAGTATGAAAAAGGCACAAATGGCAAGTATGAAGTAAAAGTACGGCGACCAACAGAACGCCGGCAACGCCGTCATTCCCATTTGGTTTGAATCGTACCCGTGTGCTTGAAGTCAACGATCAAGGCCGAGCTTCCATCCATCC